AGTGAGGTAACACACACACACACACACACACACAGTCCAGACTTGCTCCTTTTATGTGTTGTGATTGTGAACAGGTGGGCTAGCTGAAGTTCATGGACTGTTTCATGATTTCCTCCTGAGGAGGTGATCCAAAGACCCTGTGTGATGGAGGTAAACATGTCCTGAATAGATGCCRCCATAGTAGCATCTTCTGCATCTGCTGAGCCTGAGAGGATCCAGTGGCACATCAGGTCTCAGTTGGGAGGAGCTGCACTAAAAACCTTCATGTTCCAAATAAAACAAGTAAAATATTGGATGGATAATTATGGGCTGGTGGTGATAAAGTGAGAAGTATTAAGAAAACTTTAGTAGTTGGGGGTTAAAATACAGTGATGTGGGTTTGCAATAATTTGTTGCTAAAATAAAGTCCCGGCCCCTCCTGTGATTTCAGAYCACCACCACCCCTCCCCACACTTGTATTCATTGGCTGTGCGTAAAAGTGCATTGAGCGCGCATTGTCCTCAGTGAGAGTGGTTAACTGGGCAGGAACATAGAAACACCCAGCAGGCTGTGCGTTTTAAAAACCTTGGGAGTCTGTATAAAACTGCTCCATGCCCGGTGCTGGATGTGAGCGCAGACAGACGGCTGCGCGCGGAGGGTTCAAGGTTCATCCCCAGAGGAATCAGCTTGCTGCTTCAGAAATGCGCTCAGAAATAGTTTTATTGGAGAGTCTATAGGATGCGCGTCTCCTCCTGCCGAGCGCGTGCAGTTTGACACATCTCTCCCCTCCTCCTCACCGAACTGGACTTCATTTCCAACCGGGATCGAGTTCTTTCTAAGTATCGGGCTCATTCCAAACTTTTTTTTCCTTCTTCTTGGCTGTAGTCTTTAATGCCACGGAAATGGGAACGCAGCACCGAGGGAGCGCGTCCGCACTCTGCAGGAAAAGTTGGCTGTGCCCGGTGCTGATCCTCTGGCTGGTCGCGTTCGTGAACGGGACCTGGAGGACCGGACTTTATAAGGCATATTCAGGCGGGACCCAGGCAGCAGCCGCTCACACCTCCATCTATCACAAAAGGTAAGTGAGACATGTGGTTGTTGTCACTCTGCTGCATGTTGTGTGTCCTATAAATAACTGCTTCAGTCTGTTTTTAAACCTTTTGCGTGCGTTTTATTCAGTGCAACTCCCATCTCCATCCATCTGCCGGCTCCTATTGTCTTCCTGACACTTGGTTTCCTTTTTCCTGTTGGCTGCATTGCTCCACTCTCAGTGCTGTCTACAGCTGGGCACCCCTTGTCTCTCTGGGTTTGTGTACCCCTTCTTGCAGCAGCGGCATCTTCATCATCTGCTTCTTCTCATCTGTCAGGTTTCCTCTGAAAAGCATTGAAATAACCTGCTGAAAATGTGCTTCTATGAGGGTCTTCAGACTGAGGTGGGGCTCTTGTTCCTATGGTCTCACAAAGTGACTGATCTTAGTGTTTCTGAGCAGGAGTCACCCAACCATAGGAGGTCTAACCAGGTCAGGACATGATGATGATGATGATGATGATGAGAGAATGTTTTCATTTTCTACAAATATTTATCAGGCGATCAGGTCAGGTGAGGGTGGCCTGAAGGTGGCCAGAGGCAGACATGGGATGAGGTTGTGTCCCGGCGACTTTTAAGTGCTCCATTAGCTCACCTCTTTTCCCTGTCACTCACATCCAGATGTTTGCAAACACTGTTTACTAAACACAAGCAGCTTCGGGGGCTTCACGGCATCTGGGTTTGTTTCGAGGAAATGTTCGTGTTCGTAGAAGAAGCAGAGGGAAAGTGTTTCTCAGAGAGGTCAGGGGGTTTGAGGGGAGACGTCTCCGTCCACCTGCTGTCTGGCCCGGGTTTATAAGACAGTGCTTATACAACATAAAGTTCAGACAGATAGATTTTCATGTTGGCAGACTGGGAAAGAGACTTGCTGCAGAAAGACAAAGTCTTTACACAGTAGTTCCAAAAATCAAAGCGGACCAGTTCTTGAGTAATGTTTTGGACTGATAGGCCACTTTGCAGAGGAACTGATAAAGTGTTCATTCACCCTTATCGTTTTTAAGGACAACCCCAGTCCATTGTTGACTTACTGAGGTAGATGAATCTTCCCTCCTGGTCTCTGTCCTCCCTCAGAGAACATGTCGTGGTCTGGCAGGAGCTCTGATCTCTTTATTCATTAACCATCGAAAGCACAAGGAGTGATTTTGACTAAGATTCCTGGAGGCTGCTGAACGTCCTTGGATTTGTCTTTCCAAATAACTTCAAACCTCCTCCTCCCACTTCTATAGTCTCTCCTCTTGGTTTCCCTTTGCCTGGGTTGAGTCTTGATTGAACAAAAAAATGGCCTTCAAATATTTGTACTATGAAACATTTGTCAGCACTGGTATCAGGACCCGTCACATGCAGTTTGATCTTAATTATCAGTCGATGATTAGGTGAATGTTTCTGTTGGTGGATTTCTTTTCTTTCTTTAAACACTTAAAGATGGGCCAGTTATACTTAAGCTGAACGCTCACAGGTGTCCAGGCCAGAAAACCAAAAACAGACAAAGACAAATGAGTGTTTTTTGTGTCTTTCAGTCTTCTGTGAAGAGTCACTTAGCTTTGACTTGCAAGATGTCTTTGTGAAGCTTTGAAGCTTCAAGCTTTTGAACATGTAACGTGAAATCCCACCAACCTCACTGATCTGTGTTAGCTTAATATTTGGTTTCTAAATATAACAAAAGTTTGATTATTTTTTTAATCTAGTACTCCCTTTTCTTAGTTTTACCTTGAAGGTTTAGAATATTATTCTAGGAATCTAGTTTCCTTTTCTCCTCATTAATTTCGCCTCCACTCTATTTGTCTCTCTGTCGTTTGTTGTTGTACCACATTTATCTTACACCTCCCCTCTGTCCCAGGAGAGCATCACCACTTCATAATTGTCTCTTCTTCAATTTCTCCTTCCCCATTAGACTTTTACGACCTTTATGATGAAATGACCTCTCCTTTCCTCTGTTTGGTTGTTTGCCACTTCAGTCTTTTGTCCTTTGTTTCCCTCAAAGCATTTCCCGGAATCAGAAATTTCAAAAAATTCCTTTAGATGTTTATCCTTGCCATAATTCAAGCATATCTTTGTGTGTTTTGCCTCCCCATCTCCTCCCACTAATAATGTTTGGATGAAAGGGGTTTACTCAGATGGGTTTTTGAGATGGGTCTCATCTGCGTTTTGCCCCCCTCGCCAGCCCACGTGTCATTTCTCACGGTCGTTCCTCGTCCTCCTGCTTCTCATGCCGTCTAATGCCAAAAGTGCTTTAACTTCCAAGAGAGGGGTAAAGATGCAGACTGGGAAAGGTGAAACGTTGCTCTGTTAGCAGAACGCGTAGAAACTTCTGTTGACAATCGTCCTGTTTGCAGGTTCCTACATTACATTTAAGGCTTCAGCTCTCTTTTGTACCTCTCCAGTATCTTCCTTGCTTGGCGTCAGCAGCACTGGGGAACAGATGGGATAAAGCTGTGAATTTTTTTATTATTATTATTATTTTTGTAGGAGGGGGGGATTTTTTAACTGTTGGCTGTGGCTACGTGTGACAGAGATGGCTGATGATTTATTTAGCTCGGGCCCAGCATTCAGAGTGTGCCATGTGTGCTTTGAGACCTGATACTCACTGAGGGCCCACTTGGTGTTTTGCCTGAGAAACAGCATGGTGCTGGTGGGTTTCACACTTCACAGCACATGGGTGCCTCGAGTAAGAGGACGGTGTTGACTATGAAATATTTAGGAGTGACAGACTTAAGTGCACGGAGCAGCTGGGTTTCTTATTTTCTACAGCTGGTCAGAAGAAGAGAAAACTTATCCTGCATCCAGTTTGTACAAAATAAAAAGTTCTAATTAATGAGTTGATTGAGTGTAGTTGTTTTATTTGTTAATTGAGTGTAGTTGGCATTTCCTCTTAGCTTATTGTGAAGCAATAAGACGGGGGTGTTGGTCAAAAAAATCACCCCCATCTTCTCCGCACCCCCATGGCGACAATCTTGCCCCCTTCCCAGGTGAAACCTTGTTTCTCTCAGCCTGGGAAACAGGATGTTTGTGATGTTTATCAAGTCTGGAACATAAGTGGCAGGGAGGAGATTTGGCCTGATCTTTCTTCTAACTCCACCTAACAACCGCTCCTTAAAAAGTCCGAATATTTTCACCAGTAATCCTAATGGTTGAAGTAAGTATATAAGTCATACATATGAAGGATATTTTGTGACTGATTAAATTTCAGATACAGTCCTATATTTTATACGTTGTGATTATTTGCTGTCATTTAAGTCTCAACTTAATATGTGTGTCGCTCCAGCAGTGTAAAAATAATATTTAACATTTTCGGCATACCAGTGCTGACGTAAAGAACCGCCCCCAGGTAGTGTGATCAGGGCTTCGATAAGCATCATGAGATCATGTGATTTGGGGCCCATTTTGTTTAAATTGAAGCCACCAAGGACCTAAGAGATCCTTTATTGTAGCTAATGGCTTTACAGGTCTTGTTGATGCTCAAATTCTGTTTGGTATATTTGGACACAACACTGGTTCATCCTTTTAGTTGTATGAAGACTTTTTTGTGTCTAGATAACTCATGGGTCAAAGCTGTAATAAGTGCAAAAAAAAAAACAACAAAAAACATTCCTCTAAAAACTGTCAAGCTTACTGAAAATAAGTGGATAAAGAAGCCAAATTTCAAAGAAAAGATATCAGAAGGCTTGAAATACCATTTTGAAAGTTTACATAAAACTTGGCTCCATGAGAGTAATTTATATAAAAAAATTAAATGTATGATGACTCAAGAGTTTTGCACAGCACTCCGTTTAGCATAATAGGATTGCTTTGTCCAGTTTGAGATGTTTGATCAGTTGAAGTCACATTACAGTTCAGTCTTTGCTGAAGTGTTTTTGATTGTTTTTTTAGCTTGTTTTTAAAGTTACTTCTTATCTCATGGGTAATAAATAAGTTAAAATGTTCTGAAGGTTAAAGGAGTGTTGCTTGAATAATTGATTAATAATTGGTAACAAAAAAACATTTGTGTCATGTCAAAAAGTGAAGGCCTGCAGCAGAACACCAGCATTTATCTGAGGTCTGGTTCAGGTCTGTGTGTTCGGCCCCCTTCACATGTGGGGAGAGTTAAAGGGAGTTGGTTCAAGGCTGCCTCACATCCTCTGCCTTTGGTGTGTGTGTGTGTGTGTGTGTGTGTGTGTGTGTGTGTGTGTGTGTGTGTGTG